GGTTAAGTGTCATCGATGGTTGACAGCAAAAAAAGAGAGAGAGAGACCCAGGTAAATACTTTTTTCTTCATGTATATTCTTAATTTATTATTAAAAAGTAACTAAAATGTAAAAATAGGAAACTTTTTGTGTTAGTTAAGGTTAAATTAGGTAAAATAAATAATAGTATAAAAGAATATTTTCACAGGGCACACACACGAGAAGCTTGGAGTAGCTTGTGGGTAATGTAATTCTATTGCTTAACATGAGCTCCACATTTCCCAAGTGATTTACAACTTATACTGGCACAAGTAGTAGTTATACATGGTTTAAAGGAAAATAAAAACAATAAAATATAAGTATAAACAGGTGTATATTGTTATGAGTTTACAGCTACTTAGGATATACAAATGTAGTTTTATGTTACAATTTAGATTTATATCGTGTTGTTGTTTTTTTGTGGTTACGAGGTCGGTCAAATTGACCAACTTTGTATAGAGTTAAGGGTAGAGAAAATAACAGACAAAATATAGTTTTACTCAAAGAAAATCTCTGAAATGTGTTTAGGGGTTTTGGAGATTATGCAAATGATTTTTGAGAGGAAGAAAAGTACTTTTAATCTTAACATGAAAATCACTTTGCACTCAGACTAATCAAAAAAACTATATTCACAGACAAATCTTTATTAAAAATACTTCACTAAAAAATCTGATTTTTTATATGTAAAAAGACTTGTAATGTTAACTGAATGTCTGCTAAATTTTGTGAAGATACACACATTATATTAAAAGCTATTAGTGTCAAAACTATTGATCATGTGGTCAGTCAATTTGACCAAGCCTATGTAGAGAGAGTTAATGGACTTTTATTGGTTGCAATAGTATATTGTTCAATGAACGTTAAATTTCATGACAGTTCTTCAAACCAACAACTAGTATTTATTCATGTGTTTCGTAAGTAAGGTATTCTCTATTGTTTTTAATATTACTTTCATTAATTGTATTGGTTAGAATATTTAATATTTCTGTCTTTATTTTCATTTTTTTATTGGTAACATAATATATGGATTTAAGACTAACCTAAATCTCCTAAGCTGACTAAACTTAGTGAATCAAGTACAAAACTTGATACTTTATTATACTTTTACTCAATTCATATTTTAGTTTGCAATGTTACCTGCAAGCAAAATAACAAAATATCAACAACATTTTTTACCTTATGTCATAATATGAAGTCAAATAGTACATATTTCTGAATATTTTGCATATAAAGTAACATTAATACAATAATTAACAATATGTCCCAAAATTTTCTTAGTATATCTTCCTGATATATTTGAATTCACAAAATATTAGTGTCTAAGTGATATTACCCTGTCATAGAAGCAATAATGTTATCAACAAAACAGAAATATAACTTTATTCATCCGTATCACTGCTATCATCTGAAACAAGACTTAATCACTTTTCAATAGAACTTAAACATGAACAACAAATAAAGCATTCTATTTTTAACTTTGGACAAATACAGTTCTTTGAACATTTGGAGACTTTACATTTACATGAAACAGATTTAATAATCTTTGACTTTGGAGGTTTTGTACACATAATTGTAACAAGCCTGTCATAATTAAGGTGTCTGCTAAAGTGTTGACATTGGCAATTATAGATCTATATGACTTGCATTATGGTACAAAACCAGTTAGTAAAGACATCTGAGGATATGACACTGAAATGCATCCTTAGTAAGTGGAAGAACTTATGATAAGAGTTGCTTGAAGCAAACAAGTTTTGATGCAATATATCAAGACTTAAATTCCCCTTTACCATACATTTAAACAAAAATTCAACCTCACTTCTGCTACAAGTTCATCAGAAATATGAAGATTATCAGCCTTTCCCAACTGTTAAAGATATTGAAGAAACTTCATGAGATGCAAAGCAGTTAGTGCAGCTGATTGCTTTTCTCTTTTGTAGGGATAACTTGAAGTGTCACATGCACTTAAAACATAAGCAGATAAGAGTGTTCCAACAAGTTCTTAAGAGTGTAGTTGGTTTTGCATGAAAGATAACACTTTGGTCTCTTACTAAGAAACACTACTTTGTCTGTATCAGTGCCCATAATTTGTCATATACTTCATCTTTTCAATTTTCAAGAGAAACAATAAATGTGTTCATGTCTCTTTCAGTCAAATTATTCATGTTTTCTTCTTTGTTGATCTGAAAAATTGCACATTTTGAAAAATCTGTTTCAATAGCCTTTGGCATCTTGCATGATATTTATGTTTCTATAATGATTTCCTATGCTAATGCCTTTTAAATTAACTTGTAAAATAAAAGCCACCATCATCGTAAGCGAACATAATAAACTATGCTGCTGCATTTCTATGTAAAGTAAAAGGTGTATATGTTATTCTTTATTGTCTTTTTACTTGAGTAAAGAAGCCCATTATACTAATATAATAATAGGTAGGCAAACAATGATTTATGAGCATAAGGAAAAGTTTTATTAATGGTGGAACATTCTACACATTTAGACAGCACATTGGTCTGTCTTCTGCAGGTATGATCAGTACTAAGCAATACAAGGTTTATATATCTACAAAGACAAAAGACACGGGGATTAAATGTGATGGAAATGGTGTCAGCAGGTGACAAGATATAGGTAGAGGTCAGGTCTGGTTAAGTGTATGAATGGTAAATAGACCTTGTCAAATATGGTTGATGTTGCTAGGGCCATTATCACAGTTTAGTGAGAGATCATTTGTTTTGATGATTTCTATAGTTTCTAAACAGTCACTTTCTGTTTAAGTTTTGGGTTGATGTAGGAGAAGAATTTCATTTTGTGACCTATTTCATATTGATGATATGTTAAAGCAGATATCTGGAATTCACCTCTACATATGTGACCTTGGTATTCTTTGCATCTTATTTCTAAAGAATGTTACATTTGTCCTATGTATTTCTTTCCACATTCACAAGGGATACTGTATATGCTCTGTTTTTGTTCTTTCAATAGAGATTCTTTCAGGTTAAGTAGTAAGATGGCAGGTTAAGTAGTAAGATGCTAATTTTGCATGAAGATTAGAATACAGTTTTTACATAGATGCTCATAGCAATTTCTGGCACAGAAGGAAATGAAACAGATTTGCTATGTTTTGTGTTGTTGATATGGGGAAAGGTTACAGTTAACATAATATTTTTCACTGTTTTGAAGTTTGATACAAGCCCTGTCCATGATATTGGGTTGAAACCTCTAGATATTGCTATGTTCTTTAGGTAGTTCAATTTCATGTCTTCTTTGTGGGTGCAGAGTTGTATAGCACAATTTACGTAGGTGAAGTAGGAGGATTTTTTTTGGTTAGGTGGGGATTAGATCTTATATATGGTGGCATAGTGATGGAATGAGATTTCCTGTATATATTGGTGGTACCTTTAAAATTTTCTCTTTTTACATTCATGTCTACAAAGGGAAGACAGCTGAAGACAAAGGAGAAACATACATAGCAGAGCATTTAGTACAGCATTAGGCTCCAAAACAATATCTCAAAAAATCTGGATCATAGCCATTTACACCAAAGTGATTACAAAATGAAACCCTCCTATATTAAAAACCATCGTGATGAAGCTGGGTATATTTCTGATATTATTACCAAGATACTAAACAAAGTCTTTAAGTTGAGGAAGGAGCCCATAAACCAATAGTCCACAAACTCATAACCATTGGATGTTGTCCTGTGAAAGTTGGTTGAAGAAACTGTTATCACAACTCTTTTGGACCACACACCTTTCAAGCCCTTAAATACAACTCCATCTGGCTGTTGTTCCTGTGATATGATTATACGTGGTCTTGAAGTCAAGTTACCACACACAGTGGAAAGTCTGTGGAAAGTTTGTCAAAATGTGTTGTACAAGTTTTTTAGTCCATCCCAGAAGCTTATTATAAAGGATTTTGCACTTTGGGGCAATATTATACAATTTTGATTATCAGATTGAGCTATCAGTGATGAAGTATTTAGTTTCAAGAGCATCATGGAACGTGGAGTATAATTCATATAAATTGTGATTATATTTAACACAGAATTGTATTAGCCTCAATTTTGGTCTAAAAGTTACAAATTAGTTAAGGGAAATTGTATTGTTAGGCATAACAAAGATGTAATTAAAAAAATAAAACATTTCTAAGCAATATTTTTTTCTCTTAGTTATGCAACAGCAGAAAAATATTTTAGAGATGGTCTTGACAAGGTGGAAAACAGTTCTCAAACAGTATTACCAGAAAAATGGGAAGCTCTTCTCAACAATCTGGGTCACGTTTGTCGCAAATTGAGGTAGACATTTTTTCTCCAAATTGTTTTACTTATAACAATATTTAATAACTTTAATTATGACTAAAAACTGTAATGTAGGTGAAGCACCTATAAACTTCACTATCCCTTTGAAATTGATAGTAACTTAAACAAATAAGTAGGGATATTAAGTCAATGGAAATTTATTAAATAGATAGAATGTTTCTAAGTAATACCAAAGAGAACAAGCTAAAGATGTTTAAAACTGACATCAGATGAAAAGTGTTACAAAAACAGTTTACAGCTATACAATACAATAGAACAAAAACTACTGTATAAAATTATTAGTACTTTGCATGATGAAAAATATTATTCTTACAGTTTGCTATCTTTAATAGATTGTGACTATTTTTTTGGTGTCTTTCAAATTTTGTAGTGCATACTGGAGGGACTTGCACATTTTGATAAAAAGTTTAGAAAAAACGACCTTTATACTCCAGATATGTATAAAAGAACTTTTTGATTTTAACCATCATTTTGGCTTTACAGCTTCATCATGGTTAATATACACAATTTGAAATTTTTATGAAATTGTGACTAATAGAAATTGGGTATTTTTCTTGTTTAAAAAGTGCAATTTCAAGTTGCCACCAAATAATCTTTAATAAGAGAAAAGTGAAAAATACTATAGAATTGTAAGTTATACCTGATTTTAACTGTATGTGGTGAAGGGACCTCTCAGGGAAGGTTCTGTCTGTACAGTTGAGCTCCTCTGGGATTCAAACATCCACCCATCTGTTTGTCTTGTGTAGAATCCTGTAGGGGGTAGGAGAGGATCTTGGTGGTTGAATAGTGTCAGAGGTTCTGCAATATACCACTTTAGATTAGCCTTAACCCCTTACCTACCAGGGCTATTTTGTCTTATCGTGAGGGCAAAATCACATTTGTGAATTGATAAAATTATAGAGAACTTATCTTTTATTGGAATTCAGATTCTATTTTTGTAAATAGTTGCTTAACATTCAATTATTTGTCCTAAATTGTATTGTTTAATGAAGTTTGAAGAGAAGTTTAATAAAAAAATCCACAAATATGTTTGAGACCATAAATAAGCACCCTCTAAGAAAAAAAACTGTTCAACATTTTTTAATATTTTTATATTGCACTTTAGCACTGGTCCTGTCATCTATGATTGGTATCTAAACCTTTTTCTAGTCTGTTTTCTTTATAAAATAGTGTCTGAACATGTTAAACCTCAGTTGTAAAACTTTTAGCCAATTCTAGTCGAAGGTGTCAATTTCAGTACCATGTTATTCCAATGATGTATTTCACATTTGACAAATCATAGGGTGATAAGCAAAGCATGTGACGAAACATTGTTCTCTGGATTTTACAATATGAATGTGGGTGGTGCTTATTATTGTTACTACCATTTTATGTAGAGGTTGTATTTAGTTTTGGTCAATAGTACTTTCTTATAAGCCATAGAAAATCTGCTTCTGGAAAGAACTGCATGGGATGTATGTGACTTTAATTATTTTTCTATAGTAGCTTAAATCATGCTATATCATATATCTATTTATATTAATCATTATTTAAAAAAATGAACTCAAAATAGATATATTTTAGGAAAGAAGTTGATCCACAAATGTTAAGATCTATCAAGTGGCGATTGCATGGTCTTTACGTGAATTAGGCTTAGCACTTTCAACTGAAAGTAGTTAAATAATTTAGTGTGATTTTATATTTAGTTTATAATCAAAATGATTCAGGATTTAAGAATGATAATCTTGTGCGATTTGTACGTACTACTAATAGGGCTATCCCCTAATAGTCAACCAAACCGTTAGTCAATGAGAAGAGTCTTTGTCTGTGTAGTGAAACAACATACAAGGGCGTGTTGAAATAAACATGTTTGAAAGTTCAAAGAAATGATATTCAATTACTGAAAAGCTTTCTTACTATCATATCAACAGTGGCCCGTCATGGCCAGGTGGTTAGGGTACTCGACTCGCAATCTGTGGGTCACGGGTTCGAATCCCCGTCACACCAAACATGTTCGCCCTTTCAGCCATGGGGGCGTTATAATGTGACGGTCAATCCCACTATTCGTTGGTAAAAGAGTAGCCCAAGAATTGGCGGTGGGTGGTGATGACTAGCTGCCTTCCCTCTAGTCTTACACTGCTAAATTAGGGATGGCTAGCGCAGATAGCCCTCGTGTAGCTTTGCGCGAAATTCAAAACAAACAAACAAACATATCAACAGTAATGTTCAAATGTGCCTGCACTGGGCTGAACGAGAGTGACCCTCAACAGCCATGATTAGTTATGGCAAATGTACGAAGTTCACGCTGCTGACCTCTCAGTTTTTTCAGCACAATAAAGAAAAATACAGCTGCAATGAAACATAAACTTGAAACAAAATTAAAATGTTTTTTATCTAAATGAAATCCTAGTTAAAAATGAAAAATACTCGTTTATTGTTTAGGTTTACTTAGAAATATTATTTTTGGGTCTTGTATATTACTTGAAACCATAAGAATAGTGTGTAATTATTAGAAAATTAAAAATTTGCATTTTATGGATGATAAAAAGTTTTTAGAGATTTTAAAGTAATGTATTAAAACAAAAATAAGAAGTTCAAATCTGGAACAAATATATATAAATGGTAATCGTTTCTTATAAATACCATTTCCTAATATAATTTTTCAAGATATTAATTATCATAATGCAAAAAAAGTAACAAGCTTCATGTTTTTTAAACTACATGCATTTATGAAAGTTCTTATGAAATTTCAAACAATTTCATCCACTAGTTCAATTGTTGGAATGAAATATAGCAAGACTTGTGTTTGCAGAAAGTTAGAAGCCAGTAGTAATCAGGTTAAATTCCTGTAGACAGAAGACCCTAGAGTGATCCTTTCAGGGTCAGTCAGCTGGTCCTATGGAGTTAGTGTCAACGAGTGCCACTGTTGGATGTTCTCAACAGGAGTTGTAGTAATTATATGTTGTGCTGGTGTTTCAGTATAGTGTCCATGAAACCCTAGTGTATCTGCACTGTCCCAGTTTGACAGTGTGGTACATCCCCTTGTAGGACTCCATGGTGGGTTGGGTCACTGGGTACCAAATCTTTTCTCTTTTCTTATGGATAATCAAAATAAAATTAATAAACTTGTTGGAAAACGACTATGAATGGAAGACATTTATTCAAGGTTGCCATATTCAACTGTTCTTATACCTTGCTTTTTTGATAGTTAATTTGCCATTTGACAAACCTATAGAGCAGATGTCTCTCTCTTTTTCATCCAGAAGGGGTTAAAGGAGCTTGCTGGCTCTCTTAAGTTGGCTAAGAAGTTATGTTCTGGGAATATCATGGTTAAAATGTCTACACCACAATATAGTGACCTTCTTTTGAAATCAAAGTCCATTGGGGATATCTCTATTGAAGTTTTACTCCCTATACTACTTCTAACTCCTCAGGAGGAATAATGTTAAGAGAGACTTGGTTACTGTCCCAAAGTCTGACATTCTTTCTGGTTTCTCCAGCCACAGTGTTTTAGCTGTGTGATGTATTTCCACTTGAAAAGATGGAATAATGCAGCCTATCCATGTTCTTGTTTTTATATATATGTATATCTCCATTTCCACTTACTTCTTTCCAAGTAGGTTATCTGAACTATAAGGTAACGCCCTATATTCCAAACCCTCTTTGATGTTTTCAATGCCAATGGTTTAGCCACTTGAAGACATCTTGTCATGGTACTTTGATGTAAGCTTTTTTGTGGTGGCAAAGACTACAATAGCTATGACTGTCAAATTGATGCACAGTGTATTAACTGCATTGGTTCCCACCCATCCTGCTTTTGTCAATGTCCTGAATGGGTGGAGGTGAACGAGGTTACAGTGGTTAAGAACTGTTAACAACTTTTCTTATCCCAAAACATGGAAGTTATTGTATTTCATCTCAGACATATGCTGTTGCACTTTGCTCTACTGTCAAACTGGGGCTGCAGACATATCTCCCCATTCCTCCCACAGAGTCTTTCTCTCACCATGTCAAGGGTCTTCTGCTTTCCTTGAATACATGACATACTATCCCTACCACAATATCCAGTGAATGCTTTGGACCTCTCTCCAGTGGTCCTGACCTGCAGAACCATTAGTTAGTCACTAACTCACTCACTAGATTTTCATTTGTCTGACTGAGACCTCTCCCATCGACCCAGGGCAGGATTCAGGGAGGTTGATAGATTTCTATCTAATAAACAAAAATTCTTGGTTCAAAAACTAAAAGAAAAGGCTCTCCACCTGGTTCTCCCACTCCTAAATTAAAAAATGACCACTTTGATACAGCAGAACTGTTGTGGTTTCCATTCTAATTAAATCATTAATTGATTCCTATAATTGTGTGTCTCTCTCCTTACAGGATACATTCCTAAGACTTACCAATACTGTCACATTTTTACAGTTTTCCTTGTACAGGAAAGACAGGTTGTGTGATGGATGAGTACATGTGGGTGTGGCACTGCTGGTTTACCAGCATGCACCCACCATGTTTATGCCACTCAATATGTCATCTGTGTTTTTGTAGGTCATACCATCATTGTTTGTTCTCTTTAACTGTCACCAGGAGACAATTGTGATCAAGCAGACCTTGATGACCTTATTGAACAGTTGCTATTTCCCCCTCTTCATCCTGGAAGACTTTAATAGAACTCCATTCTGAGGTATTGCAAATATTGATAGGAGGGTTCGCTCTTTAGAGAGTATGCTCTCAGGTCACAACCTTTTCTTTTCAATACTGAGTCATATACATATTTTAATGCTCCTTGTCAGTATTTTAGTGCTATTGATCTATTCATTTGATCCCCTTTCCTTCTTCATTTTTCGTGGATGGTAGACAATGACCCACAGGAAAGTGATCATTTTCTTATCATTCTGAAAGTGTTCATCTGTAGTCACTGAAACCCAAGTCGTACCATGGTGGAAACTCAATGTGGCCGACTGGCTCCCCCTCGACGTGGATTCCTGTACGTGGTGAGG